TGGATATTATTGGTTTGGGGTCCTTGGCTTCCAATTTTTCTCTTTAAAACCTCTATTTTTGAGATACTCGCTAAACTTTTGCCTCATCTTCAAGAGAACCCATGAATTTACAATGGCTTTTGGTTGCCGACAAATTAAGTGATAACATCTTCCTGAATTCTTTCTGAACTCAGCGATGAAAGTTATTACACTCTATGGGAGCCTTGAGAATAATTTGATGGTCTTCTTAATTGTGAGAAAGGATAATTGAAATTTCTGTGCATTGTTGATGTCGAGCAGTGAGTTGGTTGGCTCAATTAAGTTGTGTCAATTAGATCCCTTTTCTCCTTGTACGGTTCCAATAAAGGTATTTTTAACTCACTAATGGATTTAGGTTGATTGGTGGTGAGTGCTTTTTTTATCCTATTAGGTAGGGCAAGTGATTTTTTGAGTTTGGGTGTGTTAGTTTTTAGCGAGTGTACTATGTATGCTTTTGATATAGTCATACCTTTTTTTATGTTTAGGTCTGTGATCTATGGACTCTCGGTGGGTAACCTATGCCGTGTTCTCCTGATTCTTTCTTGACGCACATTTATTCTTGGGCTCATTAGGATGCAATTTTAGTATAATTGAGTCACGACCCGACTCAGAGGCTTATAATTTCTAAGTCGAGAACAGATGATCAATAGTGAAAGTTAAACTTTTTATTTTCATCTATAACTAACATTTAATCATACACAAAACAAATGTAAAAGTCATTATAAAAAGAAAATAAATTAAAGTAGTTAAATTTACCTTATCATATGTTGCCCAGTTATCTTATAAATATTTCATTCTCTATTACTCGTCTTTAAACAAAAGTTTAAACTTAAATAATTAATTTAAAACAACAATGAGCAACTAAGCTAGTGAGTACTCTTCTAAAGTATAGTAATATAATAAGAAAGAAATGATACACATGCTAGTTAAATATAACGTAAATCAATATAAGAGCATTTTAGGACTTATACTTTTTAATAGGATCATACAATGTAATTCTAATCATTATCTATGTCTTATTCTATCATTTACAAACTAATATCTTTTAGGAACACTATCCAAAATTTATTTTAATAAAGGGAATTCAATATTATAACCTTTTTCATTTACATATTTGAGTATTTTAACATCTCACTAATATCATATGAGAGTGAATTCCATTATAGTCAATATGCATATGCAAGCTATCTAAGTAGTCAATCTCATTCTTTCTTTCATAACATTCAATCTATAATATATACCTCTGTCATAGACTAAAAATATACAGAGATTGATGGCTTACATATCTATGATAAAATGTATTTAAAGAGCAAACAAATTATTATTTTTTGAAGCTTGCAATATAAAATCTATCTAAACAAATAATAGGATGTAGCAGATTTAAAAGAATTTTAACATTACTATAATTTAAAAATATGAGTGCCTAAAATAGATTTTTAGTTGTTATTCCTTAATATACATTTTAATTTAATTTTTTTTACAATAGAATTAAAATTTTAATTATTAAAATCTAAAAGTTTATTTTAATTATTTTGATTTGCCTAACCATCCTAAGTACTAATGTTAGCTGTAATTATACTTCACCCATGTCCAATTTTTTTCTAATTGAAAGTAACATAATATTTTTATCATTATTTTTTATTTTTTTATTTTTTCTTTCTAAAAGATTTATTTTAATTATTTATTATTATTTATTATTATGATTTTATGTTATCGCTAACATTGTAATTTAATACACACTATGTGTGAACGTGAATCTTAACCTTCATATTTATTTTAGTTTGGTATTGCATAGGCTTCAAAACGGCTCATTCACCAATAGCTCGTGTTCCGGTCGTTAAGTAGCTCGTGTTCGATTCGTTTGTTAAACAAACTAGCCAAATACGAATTTTTTTTTTTTTTTTTCTCTCGGTTTATAAACGG